TTTAGGATCCCATAGAACCCATTGTCACATATGAGGAAGAGCAACAACAGCCTCATATAGAACAAGCGTCATCTAACGAGGCCCCTAGAAGGTCTCAAAGAGTCAGGACATCAACCATTTTTAAAGATTACGAAGTTTATGAATGTGAGGTATTTTAAATGGAGGGTGATCCCACCTCATTTGAAGAAACCATGAGAAGCGCTCACTCATCAAAGTGGCTTGAAGCCATAGAAGATGAAATGAAATCAATGAAAACCAACGATGTTTGGGACTTAGAAACAATTCCTAAAGGAGTCAAGATAGTAGGCTGTAAATAGGTCTACAAAACCAAACATGATTCCAAAGGAAATATAGAAAAATTCAAAGCGTGACTTGTGGCGAAAGGCTTCACGTAAAGAGAAGGTATAGATTATAATGAGACATTTTTTCCAGTCTCATATAAGAATTCTTTTAGAATCATAATGGCGCTTGTAGCACATTACGATTTAGAATTACATCAGATGGATATAAAGATGTCGTTTCTAAACGGGGATCTGGAGAAAAATGTTTATATGGCACAACCAAAAGGTTTTATTGTGGAAGAAAAAGAACGTATGGGATGCCACTGAAGAAATCCATTTACAGATTAAAACAAGCTTCAAGAAAGTGGTATTTGAAGTTTGATAGTACAATAAGAAAGTTTGGGTTTCAAGAAAATGTAGAGGACAATTGCGTTTATGCAAAGTTCAAGAATGAGAAATACATTTTCCTAGTCATATATGTGGATGACATCTTGCTTGCTAGCAGTGATGTTAATCTACTACTAGAAATAAAGAAGTTCTTATCCTGAAGTTTGATATGAAGGATCTTGGTGAAGCTTCGTTCGTCCTAAGAATAGAGATTCACCGAGAGAGAGAGAAAAGGGGTTTTAGATTATCACAAAAGGCATACTTAGAAAAGTTCTAAAGAAATATAGTATGCAAAATTGTAAGTCTTCACCTGCTCTCATAGTCAAGGGCGATAGATATGTGGAATTTCAATGTCCCAGGAACCAATATGAGATCGATCAAATAAAAACGATTCCATATGGTTCAGCTGTCGGAAGTTTACAGTATGCTCAAGTGTGTACTCGCCCTGATTTAGCATTTGTTACCGGGTTACTTGGCAGATATCAAAGTAATCTAGGAATAGAACACTAGAAATTAGTAAAGAAAGTTTTACGTTAACTGCAAGGTATGATGGGTCTCATGCTAACGTACAGAAGATCTGATTCCCTACACATAAAGGGGTATACAGATTCTGATTATGCGGGAGATGACAGAAAGTCCACATCAGGATACATATTCACTCTCGTAGAAGGAGCTATATCATGGAAAAGCTCAAAGCAAACCGTCACTACATCGTCCACAATGCATGCCGAGTTTGTAGCATGTTATGAGGCCACAGGGCGGATGAATTGGCTGGAGAAATTCATGCCCGGGTTGAAAGTGGTAGACGATATACATAAACCACTCAAGTTATACTACGATAATAATGCAGCAGTATGTTATACTGACAACAAACAAGTGGTGCTGCCAAACACATTGACATAAAGTATTATGTTGTGAAAGATAAAGTCCAGGATCATGTAATTAGTCTTGAGCATATAAGAACAGAAAAGATGCTCGCGGATCCGCTTACAAAAGGCTTACCACCCAGCGTGTTCAAGAGAACACTTAGCGGCATGGGTTTAAGGGAAAGCCTATGATTTCTGGACAATGAGGGCCTAGTTAAGAATATGTTTCAAAACAGAGAGGTGTATTGTAGCTATTTAATCTAATGGCAACAGACCGTGATGATGAGACACGCTCTATGCTCGGATCTGTGATGGAATGGGAACAAGATAAAGTAAGTAAGTTAAGTTTAAGTCATAAGGTGAGATCAAGGGGGAGAATATTAGATTGATCCCACCAGTTTGGCCCAACGGCCAATTGGGCCTTGATCGGGGGCGCCCAACCCTAACTATGGTTGGTGGGCCCTCGTCGCACAGCTCCATAAACAAGGAGGTGGGGGCCGGGGCACAAGGCACGAGGTTCACCTCAACCGTCAGACACCCCACCCACATCCCAAACACTAACCGATCTAAAGAGGGGGCGCTGCCGCGACGGGAAGCACCGCCATCGGCTTCACCTCGCCTCTGCACCGCCGCCCTACGACTGCGCTTGCACCGCGTCACCATCGCGTCTTCACCGAGTCACCACCGCACCTCCACGCGCACCAGCGATGGCTAGCTCATCTTCGTCGAAGGCGGCCGATGGTTTGCATCTCTGCACCCTCTCTCTCTCTCTCTTTTTCCATTACTAGTATATGTTTTAGGATTCACTATTTATCCTAAATGTCAGTTAGACCCGGCTGATCTACACCTAGCCGATCCTATGTGTCTATCAATAATACCTTTAGATTTGGCATGAAGCCCTTTTGGTGAAGTTTTCAGATGGTTCATCGAAAGCTTGTTAATGGCAAGATCCAAAACACCTTTTAAAAAAGGAGGAAATTTTCAATTTGACACCAGAAATGTTGCTTTCCTATTTGACATATAAAACTGAAATTCTTTCCATCGTTATTTCTGTTGTCAAATATGATTTTTTTTCTCTTCAAACAAGAGGCAAGATCCAACACTAGGCCTTGGAATTTCGACAATCTAACAAAAATCATATCTTCATAAATCATAGGAAGTTTAATGCAGTTTGAGCATCACGTTGAATCATGGGGCAGCAAACACGCCCGCGCGCGCGCACACACACCGAGGCATGAATCAGCAATAACAAATTAATGCCACAGTTAGCAAAAGCCAAATGCTGAAGTACATTACTAGCTTCAGTCTCAAAACCCTAACCATCTTCTGATATCCTCAGTTTGGTCCAACAGTAAATCAGTCTTTTGAGATTGGAAAGCAAATAAGACTATTTTTCTACAGGAAAATGTTGTACCGTGTACATCCTTTCGTTCTTGTTCCAATCTAGTTATTACTCCGTCTGTTTGAAACTATAATTCACTTGGCTTTGTTCCAAGGCAAACTTCTTAAACTTTGATCAAGTTTAGAAAATGCACCAACATTTATAACATAAAAGTAGTTCGGTTAAGTTATCTATGAAATATTTTTGATATAATGCATTTATTGAACATGTAGATCTTAACATATTGGCCCATCCGGCTGGTGCCATAATTTTACTGTTCATGACTGGAAGTTACTATTCATGACTGATTTCCTCTCACAAATTCCTCCGGATTCATTAAGATTCCTCCAAGTGAATGGGGCCATTTAAAAACTTAATGAAAGTTAAAGAACACTACTACACAAACTTTATTGGAGGCGGGCGTTTTCGGTTTTTCACGGCGGGCAAAGCCGTCCGCCGCGGCCTAGAGGCCACGGTAAATCGTGGCTTAACCGCGGCGGGCAGCCTTGCCCGCCGCGGTTAACCGATTTACCGCGGCGGACGGTGTAACGTGCCCGCCGCGGTAAATATACTTTTTCCACGGCGAGCACATTAGGATGCCCGCTGTGGTTAATCATTTAAAAAAACAAAAAAAACCAGGAGCCTGTCGGCGAGCCCGTTCTCGAGCCCACTGGCGACAGATCCGGGCTTCCCACGGCTGCAGATCCGTGCCGCTCGGGGAGGGAGAAGAGGAGCAGCCGGCCAGGCCCCAGCGTCTCTGGAGAAGCCGGCTGGACACGCCGACGCCATTGCAGGGCCGCCACCACCTCGCCAGTCGCTCGCAAGGGACCACACCGACGCCTCCTCATGGATCCCCGTGACTCCTTGCGGTGCCGTCGATTGGGAGGGAGGGAGCCACCGCCCCGACGTGGATCCGCGACGTCTCCGCGGGTTGGGGCCGCCCCCCTCCGAGGATCCGTCAGTGCCGCCACCGTGGATCTGCAAAGGGTGTGAGTGTGAGGGACGAGATCACCGTTGATCTGAGAGAGAGAGAGAGGGCTCCATGCCGCATACCTCTCCTCTCCTTGCTTGTACGGATCTGCCGCTGGCTGTCGGGGCCTCCACCACCGGCCGGAGGAGGAGAGAGGAAGGGCCTCTCCACTGCTGTCGGGGCCTCCACCACCGGCCGGGAGGAGGGAGAGGAAGAGGCCGTTGGGGCCTCCACCGTCAGTGGAGGAGGGAGAGGAAGGGCGCCGTCAGGCGTGGGGCGTCGAAGAGGAGGGGAGGAAGAGACAGAGGAGGAAGGAAGCGAGCACATGGCGAGAGGGAGGAGGAAGAGACAAAGGAGGAAGAGAGAGGGGGGCCCCGGTTGCACCCAAAACCCTAAGTAGCTATATATACGTGTAGATGAATATCGGGCCAGCTTGGGCCTAATGGGCCTAGGCCTTTTCCGTGTCGGACTTTTAACGTTGTCCGCCACGGTAAATCATCAATTACCGTGGCGGACGTCTTAAGTAGCCCGCTGCGGTAAATAGGCATTTTTTGTGGCGGCCAATTTAAGACGTCTGCCACGGTAAATCGATTTATCGTGGCAGGCAAAAGTGCCCGCTGCGGTAAATAAAAAATGCCCGCCGCGGTAAATCGTTGGATTAACCGCAGCGGGCAAAAATAGGTGCCCGCCGCGGAGTGCAAAAGTCAAAATCGTTTGTGTAGTAGTGGAAATTTGACTTAGAAATATAAGTAACTATACTAATTTGGAATAAGAGAGTGGAATACCGTAAGGTTGTTAAATCCAATGGATGATATTGGCACTATTATTAAAGCTGTACGGAGTATAGTTTTAGGTCAAACATGAGATGTCTTTTTGCCGAGGATTTTTTTTCTTCATGATTGATAGATTGCCAGTTTTGTGCCTAACCTAAACTGTGTGCTGGGCTCGGAAATGCTTGCTATCTATGGAGGGTCCAGCACTGGTTAGCTGGGCTCGACAGACGACCAATACCCATCTGGCATCACTCTAGCCAGCCAGTGTCCGCGGAATCTGCCAGTCCAACTTTCTCCACGACTCGTGCTCTTGACTTGCCAAGCGAGGTTGCAAGGAAAGGAATGGAGGAGGAGGAGGCGAATCTGAGCGCCGGCGACGGCGAGGAGGAAGAGGAAGCGGCGGAGCACGCCTCCGGCGGCGGCGGGTTGGACTTCGACCCGACGGAGGACGAGCTGGTGCTGCACTTCCTGCGCCCGCAGCTGCGCGGGTTCCCGCCGCGCGTGGCGGGCGCCGTGCTGGAGGCGGACGCCTGCGGCGCGGCACCGTGGGAGCTGCTGGCGCGGTACGGCCTGCGGGAGCGGGGCCACTTCTTCGTGGCGCGCGGGCGGGGGCGCGGGCGGACCGCAGTGCGCCGCGCCGTGGCCGGCGCCGGCTCCTGGATGCGCAGCGCCACGAGGCTCGGGCAGTCCGTGACGGACCTCGGCGTCGTGGTGCGGTGGAGCAGGGCCAAGTTCTGCTTCTACGTGCCCCAGCCGGGTTTGGGGCCGGGGCCGGGGCAGGGGCGGCAGCTGCGGAGCGCCGGGTGGGTGCTGGAGGAGTACCAGATCACGGACCCGCGGTGCTACCGCCGCGCCGACGAGGAGGAGGAGGACCGGTACTGGGTGCTCTGCCGCGTCAGGAGGAGCGGAGATCATGGGCGGCGGACAGAGGCTGGGGCTGGAGCTGGGACGCCGCCGCCGGGCTGGAACAGGGTTCCGGAGTGAAGGTCAGGTCACGGCCACCGACGCCGCGCACGTGAAAGCACGAGGTGAAGTTGTTTTATTTTATTTGTGTATTTTTGGATGGAAGAGAACTTAACCAAAAGTGGGTCGCGTCCATGAATCGGCGGTAAAAATTGGTTGGCAGATGTTTGTATTGTACTGTACGATCATCCGTCGAAAGTTGCAACTGCCACCAAATTGAACGCCTCCATCTGTAATGCCCAATGGGCAATGGCCTCAGCAAGGGAGGAGGACCTCCGTTTATAAATTGTGATCGACAGGGACAGCACTGCTCATCTACGTGGGCACAGCACCTGTAGGCTATAGCCACCAGCTTGCACATTGCATTTCCGATCCAAAGACGACACGCGAGCATGGACAGCAAGGTCTGCTGCATCTTTCAGCTGGCGCTGCTGCTCGGTGTCGTGCTCGCACTCGCCGGCCCTATCATCGCCGGCGGCAGCGTGGAGGTTGGGCTAGCCAGCAAGGCCGCGCGGCGCCGGGGCCAATGCGGCGCGGCAGATGATGACGGCGCAAGTGACGACGACGGCGAAGTCGACGATGGGATTGGAGGTGCACCGCCGCGTCCTCGGCAGCATCAGCCCCTCCTCGCTCAATCCTGACAAGCCAGCCTGCCTCGGGTCGTGCCCAGCCGCCGGCAGGTCGTACACCGGCCGCGGCTGCCAGAAGGCGTACCAGTGCTCTGGCTGAACACCCATGGACATGACATGAGTGCTTCCTACAACAGTTTACAATCCGGCGGCATGTTCGGGGCATCCGATTTTATTTTGTCTTGTACTAGTATTTAAGTACCATCATAAGAGCCAACGCATAATTGTATCAGTTGCATATGGGCTTCCTCCAGGCCGCCATGGATGGTGTCGCCGTGGACTCACTCGATTGATCACACACATCTCGTTCTCGTGTCGTGCGGTTGAATTGAATGAATAAAAAAGAATCCTTTTTTACCTCCTCCAGTCCTGCTGCCACTGCCACTGCCATCCTGTGTGTGCTTGGTATTGCAGAATTGCCAGTCGGTGGATGCACATGCACTGCTTCGAGGGAGAAGGCGATTGGAGAAGGCTCACCGCTCACCCGGTCACCCCGTTGCCATCCCGCAACTGCAAAGCCTGAATCTGGTTACAAAGCACTCACGCACACGTACGTCAGTGAGTATACGTGCCGAAGGCGACGGACCAGCGACGGACCAGCCTCTGCAATTCGTGTTGTGTAGATGAGTACCACCGCTGCGCTGCACTGCGCTCGACACAGAGGTCAATCGTCAGAGCACACCTTAACGATTCTTTTTACGGCCCGTTTGGGTTCCTTGAATTGGAATACCTTTCTGGCATTTTGTGCATGCATACTGGTCCAGCTGCACTGCGCTCTTTCCATGTTGCTGACGGTGTGGTTGTTTGATTTACAAACAGCTGCAGCTTCGGAGGATAGCGAGTAAATAGTAGCGAAAGGATGGAATTAGCCTTTCCATTCTCTAGGCCAAGGATCTTACGTGGGTGTTGTGGGCTTTACTGGAATAACTTGGAATTGCCGTTTCTACTCGTTGATAATCAATCCAAAGTGCACAATGAACTTCGCCATCATGTTTCTATCGTCGAGGCGGTCAAAAATCATATTTGGATCATCTCATTTAGAATACGGGTGAAAAAAGTTTTCAGGAGGTTGATTCAATACAAACCAGCCCGGCAGTTCCAACAACCGGCCAAGGCAGTTTTCTAACTTTCTGAAATGGAAGAATGGATTGTACCATTGCATTCCTTTTGTCGAGCTGATCGAAAAACATATGGATCGTCTCATTTGGGGTTTGGATGAATTAATTATGATTTTTGTGAGATCTTCTGACTTCGACCCGTAGAAAATAGCCAGGCCGATTCTAGAACTGGATTGACAGACCAGATAAGATCTAAATTGTATTTTGACGTGCTTTGCAAGGGTTTTTGACCGTACATGGGATAAGACCTGTAAGGACCATGACGCCTGAGCGGGGGTTGAATTAGGCAACTTAAAACCTACTTCTAACTATAGCCTCTAATTTCAACCTGAGCAAAACATATGCAATTAAATAAACTACCTAAATATACAACTGAGGTTTTGCTAGGTGTGTTGCTATCTCTACCACCAAAGAGTTATGCAACCTATGTTCTAATCCTATCAACTAGCCTATCAACTAAGCTAGGAAATGTAAAGCACACAACCAAGATAGCAATGTAAATGCGAAAGCTTAAGAGCAAGGTAGAGATGCAAACTCCCGTTGACGACTTCTCTATTTTTATCGAGGTATTGAGAAGCGCGTAAGCTTCCCCCTAGTCCTCGTTAGAGTCCCTCACAAGGAAGCCCTCGCAAAGGCCAAGCTCTTAGTCGGGTAACTTCATAATCACCTAATCTTCTCTTAAACATTTATGAAGATTGGAGCACTTGGTGGTGAGTCTCAACACTCCCCTATGTTTGGCACACTCCGACAACTCTCTTGGCTGGTTGGGGTCCTATTTATAAGCCCCAAGTCCAAACTAGCCGTTGGCCCCCTTGATACACACTTCTGTGTACCGTCGGACCAAAGCTGCAAGATCGTTGGACCATTAGAGTGTCAGGGTCCGACGCTTTTTCCAACGGCTCTCTGAAGTAGCCGTTGCCGACTGTTGCGTCGTCTCTGCAGCTGACATGTGGGGACATCGTTAGACTGGTCCAACTCCCCTAACTTGGACTAGGTCCGATGCTCCTGGAACCTCTTGGTGTTGGTTTTCAACACCTGTCAGACCGGTTCTGTAAAAAGGTCCGACGCCCTGTGACTTCAGGGTTCGACCCATCCTTTTGTCGTCTCTTCCCTCCGTGAACAATAGCATCACTCAGTCCGACTCCTACTTGATCAGTTGATCCATGGTCCGACGCCTTGTGCCTGGTCGCGTCATCTTTGTTCTGTGAGAGTCGGACTCTCTGGAACTGGTCCGACGCCCTTAACCTCTTGGGTCCGACGCTAGCTTGGGGACGCTGCCTTCGGTATGAGAGAGTCGGACTCTGTCTGTATTGGTCTGACCCCTCTGGTCTTCTGGTCCGATGCCTCTACAATTCTTCGTTCTCTTCGTTTCATTGTTGTCTTGCGTCCAGTCTTGGTTCCAACTTCGTGCATGAACTTTGCTTGATCTTCTAGTGCTTTAATTCATATCCTAATGTCTATCTTGAGGTGTTGATCTTTTGGATCACCACTTTGCCTTCATCCAATTCACGTTTGCACCCTATTGGACTACAAAACAAACACTTGCAAACACGTTAGTCCAATTTAGTTGTGTTGATCATCAAACACCAAAATTCAAAGTAAATGAGACAAGTGTCTATTTTTCTTACAAGACCACCCCTCCTTCTAAATATAAGGGCATGACCGATTGAGGTGTCCAACAATATACAATCGATAAAAATCAATCTACCCCTATCTCTCTTTTCCCTAATCTCTCCCAACCCCATGTTACTGTTCACCATTTGATCTGATGACCAATGATGGCTCTATAGGATTGTTGGCCGACCTAGGGCAACCTGGTGACGTCCTTGCCCCAACAGGGTCCCTCTCGGGTGAGAGCTTCGACGGTTCCTTTGCTAGTTTGCCTCAAAACTAGCCGCTCTTCATCACGTAAGCATGATTGGCTATCCTTTGGTGGTTTGCTCATAAACTTTGTTGTTCTTCACTACTTAAGTGCGATCTTTGCTGCCTTAGAGCGCTCTCGGGCTCAACCCAAGAAAACCGGCCAGGCCGATTTTTTTAATCACGCCGCCTTAGTCCATATGCGATCTAGCACTCGTGGTGTGTGACCAATATTTGCATCAACACACTTTTTGGTGACTCTGCTAGGAAATGATTGCTTCGACACTACTTTGTACCTGAATCTTTTTGACCTGCCGTATTATTAATAGATCTATCCATCTTGTTTTCGCTGTTACTGTTGCATATGGTCCAAAAGGCCGAACGCATCTGGTTTTGACTCCTTGTGATCTTGCTTGCTGTTGTACAACATATTATTGTAAAAATCACCAAGGTGATCAAATTCATTGCCATGAAGTACCAAGGTATGACAACACAAAAATTCTAACTCCACTAAGGGGTCTCATGTAAATAACCATATTGTCTATATAAAGAACCTAAGTGTACGAGGGAAGGAGACTCTCAACCCCCACTCACTTCCACTCTTATTTACTTCTCAAAACCCTAACTAGTGCCTCTCCTCTACGCACTCCACCTTAACTTCAACGCCTATCAAGTTCAAAAAAAACTTTGATGCCTATCCCAACAAGGTTATATATGATATTTACTTTAATATTTAGAAAATTTCTATCTCACTCCATGGCGTTTACTAATTAAAGTGTACATTTAAGATTATGCTTCAAGCTAACTTAACTTAAATCAGTTTGTGAATTGGATCACAAGGCGAACAATGTGAGATTATGCCATAGCGAAAGGATATAATTGTAACTCTGTAGGCAAAGACACATATCTAGTATTTATAAAAAGCAATTACTACTTATTATCTTATACTCCTGGGTTAGAAATGAAAACAAAATAAAAGACATATGAACTTCAGATCTTAACATTAAGTAAATATTCTTACTACCATTCTAGGTGTTATTAAACCAAATACTCCCTCTGTCCCATAAGGAGCTGTAGAAACTGAGCATTCTGTCACCACCACCGACCTCACCACCCACTTCTCCACCCCTCGAGTTGTGGGTGCCTACCTGGCGGGCTCCTCACGATCGCTCCTCATGAGACGCACCTAGCAGGCGACTACCCTAAGACGGGTGCGGTGGGCCACCGCATTGGTGAGGCCAACATGCAAGTGATGCGTCCTGGCGTTCTTGCTGCCGGTAACGACGCCATCAAGACCGCTCCTCGCGAGATGCACCTGGCGGGCAACTACCCTGAGATGGGAGCGGCGGGCCACCGCGTTGGTGAGGCCGACATGCAAGCGATGCGCCCTGGCATTCTGGTTGCCGGCGACGATACCATCAAGAAACATGCTTTTGCGGCTGCTCCTTGCGAAGCCGAATCGGCGGGCGACAGCCAGCACGTCGATGCGAGAGAACAGGCAAAGAATCTAGCTTGCGTTGATGATGAACTTATGGAAAATTTGGTACGATAACTTGAACTTCAACAACCTCAGACTCCACTGTCCTCTCCATTCCCGCTGCCACCTCCATCCATCGAGCTATGAGAAGCAACGCTGCCCCTACCAGCCTTTCTGCCTCCTCCGCTCGGGGTCAGAATTTATACCATGCAAAATCAAGATGACGCTCAGGCCACTTTTCAAGCGTGGGAGAAAAGAGGACCCGATGCATTGCTCGTTGATGCCCCTAATGATGTTAGTGCTATTGAGCTCGATATGATCTGGGAGGTGCTTCGCGGAGCAAGTCTGAACATCTTTCAGAACCTAGTGATTATTGCGCTATGATAGTGTTAACAACCAATGAAGTTGAAGTCAAAAGATTGATTCAGCAATATAGATTAGTCATAAGGATTATTTTATATTTAGTTTTAAGTAACTATGATCTAGACAGAACTTTATGCAAATTGCTTGGTACCTATACAACTGAATGAATCATGTTCAGCTAAAGACCCGAATGCAAATTCCTTGGTGTCTTCTATTCATTTCCCCTTGAATAATGATGTTCTTGTTGCTGTCAGAATGGTCAAGGGTATGCTTGAACAGAGTTGTTACATTGTCAAATGATGAAGCTTTGATGATTGCCTTTCCAAAAAACAAAAGCTTTCATGGCTCTTGAGTTCCTTTCTGTTTGTCAAAAGCGCTTACCGTGTTGCCAAGCTGACTCTATTGTTGGCTTTAATCTTAACCATCATTCTTGATTCATTTGGAGTTGGCAATATCCTTTGGATATGATACTAGGGTGGCGTATAAGTGTTGCACGATGCATACTGCATAATTTGTTTCACATGGGGATCTCCATCCAATCTATGTTCAGCTCAATATGTACACTCTGTTATACTTAGTTCTTGCACTATGATTTGCTTGAGCATAAACAAGAAAAGCATAGAAACAAGAGAAAAAGGGATGCCACGATTCAACAAACCTACCTTAACACTGTAAAAATAGTTCCCACAAGGAGACGTCGATTATTGTACTATTGCCTTCGACGCCAAGGGTAAAAGGGTAATTTGACGTACAAGTTAACATTATTATAGCCTCAAACTTACGGAAGGGCTAAGAAAGCAAATGAATTTCGTTTTGGGGCCAAATAGGAAAGTTCAAAACAAAAAGGGCCAAGAAAGGAAACACGACTTTTTTTAGGGCCAGGGAACTAATTTTCTCTAATAATATAGTGCTAATATCCTCTCCATCTTAAAATATAACCTATCTTATTAGAAATTCTAGTATATAATATTAATAACTTTGAAATATTACATACAACATCATCATAATAGGTGCAAATAACCAAAGT